CCCCCCCCCCGTGGAATTACTTTTCTACAAATGGGAATTAACCCTCACTTGTACTCAGCTCTGCACAGTGATTACTGAGGGGACTGTGGTTCACCCTGCAGACCTGATGGTAATTCTAGGGAGAAAAGCGCCTGATGTAAAGTAGTCCGTGCCTATGCCAAAGTCATTTGCTGACCATCCCCAGACAGCCACGGTCTTTCTGCCTTCCTGAGTTCACCGTATTTCAGGCTTCAGGAGCAAAGCAGCCTACTGGCCAGGGCCTTTCTCTTCAGGCACCTGGGCATTCGAGAGATGTGGGAACTGGTTTCACTTGGGTTTGCTACAAAGTGGTTTTGTACTTACTTTCCCAATAAGTGCAAACACTACACACTTGCTTAGCAAAGCTTAGGCACTCACTTAGTTGTATATATCACAGCTAAGACATGAATGATGGATAAATTCCTAAGGGGGAAGAATAATTAGCGGATTCAGGAATGATGTTTCTGAGTACAGTTTTTTTTGAGGCCTGAACATGCCCTCAGGGCATTTCTGGTTTGGCTGGAGTATCTGGGCTTGAACCAGTGGAAGTTGAGCCTCATTGCATTTTTAAGTAGCTTTTTCTTAATTTTAAAATTTTATTTATGGGGCCTTCATATTGAGCTACATCACCAGACTTTTTAAATTATTTATTTTGAGAAAGGATCTTAAGTTGTTGTTGTTGTTTTTTTCCCTCAGTCATGTGCTTACAATGGGTCCTGCCTCTTCCTTCCTCCCTCCCTCTCCTCTTCCTTCTCCGCCTTCTTCTTCCCCGTCTGTCTGTCTGTCTGTCTGTCTGTCTGTCTGTCTGTCTCTCTCCACTAAGTTATTCAGCTGCTCACTTTGGGCTCCAACCTGTGGTCCTCCCCCTTCAGCCTCCCACAGTGCTTGGATTATAGGCATGTGCTACCATACCTGGCTTATGTTGTATAGAGTCTTACAATAGTAGAAGACTCACTGTAGTAATACCTAGTCATTCATGTAACACAGCACCTACATGCATAATTTTACATTTCTACATTTTCTAAGGAATTTGATGCCTTTTATAAAAATGAGGAAACCAAGGCTCAGAAGTTCCCTATGAGTCAGGTATAGCAGCACACACCTATAATGCCAATATGTGATCAGTTGAAACAGAAGGATTGGTTTGAGCTCAAGGCCAGCCTGAGCTACATAACAAGACCCTATCTCTTAAACAAAGAAGTTAACTATGACTGCTCAGTAAGTCATAGAAGTAGATAAAGAAGACAAATTTGCCTGGCTTCAAAGCAAATATTCATTCCACAAAGCATACTGCCTCCTTGTTTAGCATAGTTATTTTCATAGCTTAAAACAGGTTTAATCTTGATTATAGTATGAGTACGTGAAAATGTGACCTGAGCAGTGGTATTTGCTATAGATTCTAAGGTCTGCAGATTCTAAGGCACAGATTTCTAACTTGGGCACTCAGCTCCAACATAAAGCGGCACGACTTGAGGTTAAGCACAATAAAAACAAAAGTAAAACAAAACTGATCACAGACTAAAAGAACACTAGCCCCATCACTCAACAGTTTCAACTGCTGCTGTTCTGGAAGGTCCACAGGTCAGACATTCAACCTGGTGTGGCCTGTCTTGAAAGGTTACAGCCTGTTACAAACACCCCCGAGGAGGCCAACGTCTACTGAACTCCTCTTTTCAGACTGCCTTCAGTTTCACAGCCTAAGAAATGCAGTCTTATCACTACATGGGTGTTTCTTGCTAATTTGTTTTCAGATCTACATTAATACTCAGTTTGATTCATATTATTATATTATTATTACTAATAATAATTTGCAGTGTCCTCCTGTTTGCAGCCTCCCCAGTGCTGGGATTACAGGTGTGCGTCACCAGCTCAGCATGCCCGGAGGCAGGGCCAGCATAGTGTGCACTATTTGGGATCAAACCCTGGTCACTGCACTTGCCTAAGCAGGTGCTTAGTCCACTGAGCTATCTCGCTGGCCCTTTCTACTTTATTATTTTTAAGAACTTTTTTTAAAAAATTATTTTATATAGGGTCTCACGACGTAGTTCAGACTCATAGTGGTCCTATCTCAGTCTCCCCAGCGCTGGGATTACAGGCGTGCACCTCCACAGCATGTAGTATCAGGGATCGAACTCAGGTCCCTGCACTTGCCAGGAAGGTGCTTAGACCACTGAGCCACCTCCCCAGCCCCAACCCCACTTTACTCCTTCTGTCCCATTCCAAAATCCAGAACTAGCCACTACAGATTAAAATACCATCACTCATACTACTCACAGTGTGAGCCAAAGGCTCGTAAATAAATTTTCCCAGATGAAATGGCTTTTCTTTTCTTTTTAATATTTATAGCTCACTATATTTACCTATTATGACAAAGCAGACAACATTAACTCATTCAAAGAAAATAAAGGATTTTCTTTTTTAATTACTGGTATTGATTTGGGATTCTTTCCCAAATCACATCTTTTTATTAGTATACACTGATAACACATATTACTGGGTTTCATTCCGGCAGGTTTGTACATGCATATAACATACTTTGATCATTTTTTCAGCAGTTTTTTTACCTCTTACCCACACTCTCCTCTACTTTCTCATTTTGGGGGGGTCTCAAGGCATCTCTTTTGATCATATCCATTCATTTTACTACTTGCTCTTATACCCCCTCCTTGTTCCCTTCCACTTCTCTAATAATAGTCTTCCTTCATTTTGTCATTTTTACTTAGATTCCACCTATTAGGGAGAACATATGATATTCATCTTTCTGAGTCTCGCTTATTTTGCTCAACATGATATTCTCCAGAACCATCTATTCGGCAAATGACAAAATTTTGTTCTTTACTGCTGAATAATAATAGTTCACTGTGCATGTATATCCCAATGAGGGTTTCTCCTATGCTCAGAGAAATGACAGCACATCTCCACTAAGTGCACATCACCCTCAGTGCTTACATTCCAGGGAAAAGTATCTGGCTATGGTGCATGTGAATGCATTTCTCTCCAAGGGATCCAGTAACTTAAATCAGCAGTTAATGGATAAACTGTGCATAGGAAATCACATCCCAACAGGACCCCACCCCCCACCCCAACCTTGGAAGTTCCTCCATTGGACTGAAAAGAAGACCCAAGTTAAAAGTGTCAAGGTAGAGCTTCACCTGCATGCTTGTGGGGGTGTTGAAGAGTCCGCTGGCCCTGAGGGCTGTTTCCCTGTTGTAAGAAGAGGGCTGCACCTTTCACCATGAAAAAGCTCTCACTTAGGCTGGAAGAAAAGAATTGGACCACAGTTAGAATGAATTGAGATGAAAATGGGCCAAGACATAATGCAGAGCAAAAGCGTCAACAAGGACAAATAACATATAAAATGCAAATGGAATGGAACTGCTTTTACAATTTCACACAGCATTTTTCCTGAGCCTCATCTTTGCTGAAAACTTGATGTTGCCGCTTCATAATGAAATAATGCTTCTGCTAAAACAAGCCAAGTTCCATGGGGCTCTGCATGATCAAGAGGCCCCTGCCTCCTGAACCCTAGAAGAGAGCGCACTGCAGCACTGTCTTTTCTAAAAACATAGCACTCTGATGGTAGAGTGGTCCCCTCTGTGCCATTTTTCACAGTCTTGCTATTGGCTTTGGCTTTTAAGTCCCTGACTTTTAATAATGTCCTCGCTTCCTTAATGGGATACAAGGCAAATGAAACTAGCTGTCTGTATCCTAAGAAAACTTGGTGAGGGGCTAGGGATATATAGAACTTGCCTAACATGTGTGGCCCTGGGTTCAATCCCTAGCACTCCAAAAATAAAAAAACACTAAAGAAAAAAATAGAGAAAACTGGGTGGTTATTAACTTGCAATTTAACCTAGTCAAGGTTGCCCTGTCAACCATTCCTATGGAAAAATCTCACACTGATCCACTGAATTGCTCAGTAAAATCAATCTTTGGCCTTTGCAAATATTTTAACCAACAAAAATATTTATATTCAACCTGTAACCTTGGAGCTTGCAGGTTAGTTCAGTTGTTTAAGCGCCTACTGGGGCAAACCCAGTTAGGCACAGGGAATCGTGGTTCCATCCCCACTGTGCCAGGCCGGCCCCACACCTGGGGCATGCTGAGATGGCAAATGGGACTGAACATGATGGCACGTGCCTGTAATCCCAGCATTTGGGAGGCTGAAAACAGGAGGATCACTACGAGTCTGATCTGTGCAGTGAGACCCTATACTAAATACTTAAAAAAAATTTTTTTTTTTCTCCTAAAAAAAAACCACATAAAAACAGGGCAGGCAAGGTAGCTCAGTGCACCTGAGGCAAGCACAAGGACCAGGATTTAATCCCTGGTACCACATGCTGCGCCAGTCCTGCCATTGGGGCACAGTGAGCCAGCCACCAAGAACAGGTACAGTGGTGCATGCGTGCAATCCTGTCACTCGAGAGGCTGAAAACTGGAAGGTCACTATGGGTCTGAGCTGTGTAATGAGACCCTGTACCAAATTCATAAAAAATAAAATAAAATTTAAGAAATGAAGAGCTGCATGGTGGCACACGCCTGCAATCCTAGTACTCTGCAGGCTGAGGCAGGAGGACTGCTGTGAATTAAGTCTAGCCTGGGCTACACAGTGAGTTTAAGGCCAGCGTGAGCTGCATAGTGAGACCCTGTTTCAAAACAGAAAGTCAGGGCTAGTGAGATGGCTCAGTGGTCTAGGGCACCTACTTAGAACAAGCTTGGCGAAGCACAGGGACCGCGGTTCGATCCCCCAGCACCACATGAGGGCCAGCCCCGCCCCCTGGTGGGCTGAGCTGGCCACACACACACACACACACACACACATAAATAAATAAATTTAAAACAAAAACAGAAAGTCATAGCTATTAATTATCATCAATTATTCAAAAATATCCTAAGCTCTGAAAAATCACACATAAAATATACCAAAATGATTTTGGTGGTAGGACCCTATGATTATCTTTTTCTACATTATAGTACTTTCTAAATTTCCCATATTGAACAAACATTAATTTTTTAAAATGACTTTTTGTTCACTTTTCAGAGTAATATAGAACATTCTAAGTTTTTTTTTGTTTTTGTTTTTGTTTTTGTTTTGTTTTTGTTTTTAGCTGAGTATGGTGGCACACACCTGTACTCACAACACTCAGGAAGCTCACACCAAGTTTGAAGCCAGCCAGAGCTATACAGTGAGCTCAAGGCCAGCCTGAGCTACACAGCAATACTGTATCTCCCAAATACATTAAGTTTAAGAAAATAGTTCAAATTATAGAAAATTATAAAAATATAACAACATATAAACTGGACATGATGACACAGGGCTGTGATCTCAGTATTCAGGAGGCTGAAGCAGGACTGACATGAGTTCAAGGCCAGTCTGAGCTCCATAGTGGGCTCAAGCCCAGCCTGAACTGCATAATGAGACCCTGTCTCCATAACAACACACAAACAAAACCAATTAACGTATAAATTATTTGAAGGGAAAACCTTTATGAAAAAGCAGTACTGTACTTTTAAAAATGAATTTCTGTCAGAAACACCAGAGTATTTTCTGTAATATATAGAATCAAAATTTTTGCTTCAGAAAAACTCAGTTACTGAGTCTCAAATGTAACTCTAGGTAAATGCTAAGAAACTGCCACATGAAATAGCAGTTAAAGTCAGGAGCTTCCAGGAAAATTAATCTTCTATCATAAAAATTTTCTACATTTTTTAAGGGGTGAAAGTCCCATACTAAAAATACAGACTGCTTAACTATATGGTTCTGCCCCCAATACAGGCCTTTGGGCACAGCTGGTGATTTCAAAGTTCCAACCCCTCGCAGGTGCTCAGCATGGCTTCACCTGTTCCTGCACACAGACGGCCAGGTTACCCTCCTGCTCTCCAGCCCAGGCACACACTTCTGCTGCAAGTTTTAGGTGGTGAGGAGCCCAGGACTACAAACAGTGAAGAATGAGAAGCACTCTTTCTTTGCAGTCTCACCTTCACCCACAGGAAACAAAAAGCTTTTTAGCACCCATCTGGCCAATGTAAGATCCAGGCCATCTAATTTTAGCAGGTGGCAGAATTCTCTAATATTTTTCTACTCTTAAAACCTGTCACCTTTTCCATTCCTAGAATTCCACAACTAAGACTGTTTTTAAAAGTATTCTTTTAAGACATGGATCATTTACTACTTACAAAGAGCTGTGTGCCAGGGACTCAGATCACGAGTCCTCCATTTCAGATTATGAAACTGAAGACAGCAATCAGTTCATCAAAACAGCCAGGGAAGTCTTTTCAAGGCAACATCAACCTTTTCTGTTCATGAATTTGAAAACATCTGCTCCCCATCCATACTGACCAGAAACCAGAGCATTCTGGAAACAGCCAGCCATTAATGGTGACCTTCACCATGGAAATCATGGTTAAAAATTTCCCTTATAAGGAAAAGTTTTCTTTACATTTCCTCTGGGGAAAAAATAAAATTAATAATAATAATAAGAAGAAGAATAAGAATAGTGGGGGTGTGCAGGAGACCAATACAAAAAAATAGGCTGGCTTTAACTTGTGATCACCAGGAAACCAGCTATTCCTCAGTCATAAGAATCAGAGCCCACCCTGCATAAGTGAAGTCAGGGTACAACAGTGACTGGGGCCTCGGCCTCATCCTGACCATCATCACAGGTGGTTACTGTAAAAAGTAAGACCAAACCCTGCAGGGAAGCCCAGGGAGCTCGTGATCCCATGGTGATGAGGTCACCCAGCATCCTGGGAATACAGTAAGGGGATACAGGCAGAGAAGCCACACACGATGACTCTCCAGGCCGAGATGCTGGCAGGGTGGGTAGGATGTGTGGTCAGTGATGGGATTTCTGCAAACAAAATGCACATATTTTTCATGACCTGGCCTTATGGCTTTCTGTCCCCACAGGCCCTCATGTGCCTTTGGTGTGAATGACAAGTATTATTTCCAACAGCCAGGGTGTGGCATCGTTTTCTCAGCTGAACTTCTAATACCAAAATGCACAGCATCCAGATTCATTGGCATTTAGAGTGCCCACTAGGAAAATCTTTTAAGAAATGTGTGTTGGTGGAGCTGAACATGTAGCTCCATGGGAGAGTGCTTGCCCAGCATGTGGAGTCTCTGCGTTCTGACCCTAGCACTGCAAGTTAAAATTTAAAAAATAAAAGACTCCATGTTAGTAATGGGTACACCCTTACGAGGTACTCTGGTCAAGAAAGCCATAAACACACCTACCATCTATCCCAGGCTTGGAAAGCTCAATCTTCTCACAAAAGGTTTTAGTGTTCTAAAAAGAGCCTCTGAAGGCACAGAACGTTGGACCCAGATAAAAACAAACCCACCCAAAGTCATCTTCTTTCACTGCTTTAGGAGAAACTCTGACAAGGGATTTTAAAAAAAGGTCCAGGGGGCCGGGGAGATGGCTTAGTAGAATAAGTGCTTCCCTGGCAAGCACAAGGGCCTGAGTTCAATCCCCGGTTCTGCCAAAAAATAAAAAATAATAATAATAAAAATAAATAAATAAAGGTCCAGCAGTTCCCCTTGCTATTGTCCTGATCAATTATCTTGCCTCCAAATGATTTTACCTTTGCAATACAAATAAGTTCTCAGATCCTGATTATTGGCTATTGGACCAACTTTATAAGATTAAAGTTTCTACAAAGCATATGAAATAACAAAGCCTTCAATTGATGCTCTTCAACAACTGCCAGCCCTTGCAATATAAACATTATCATCCAATAAAATTTAAAATAAATAAACATTACCATCGAGAAACTGATCCAAGGTAATGAGACAAATGAGTGATGGTCATACGTACTAATTTGGGCTGGGAACCTCTGGACTGCACAGGTATCGAGTTGGCCGAAGGAAGATGCAGAAGTCAGAAAAATAAAAAAGGCTCATGATTGCTGCATTTGTATCTCAACACCTTTCTGTTCTGTGTCTGTGGAGCTTCTGGCAGTCACTTTCCACAGGGCCCAGGACGGCAAGCAGGAGACTGTTGAGTCCCTGCAGGACTGCAGTGGAGTCCTCAGGCGATGGTCCCACCCAAAAAGCAAGTAGCTTTTGTGGCAATTGTCTTCCCCTGATATTTTGGCCTTAAAAGGCCCTTGTCACAGCATTTTGTGGTGAAAGAAGCCTATTCAGAAGGAGCAAAACAGCTGAAGTTCCTCTAATCACTTCACTCCTACGGGCTCAGGGAACAAGCAATAGGGCATGCGTTCAGAAGCAGAAGGGAACACGAGCCAGCAGCT